CCGGACACCCCTGAGCCTTCCACGGAGGGCCCGGACACCCCTGAGCCTGCCACGGAGGGCCTGGACTCCCCTGAGCCTGACACAGAGGCACTAGACACCCCTGAGCCTGCCACAGAGAGCCCCGACACCCCCGAGCCTGCCATAGAGGGCCCAGACTCCCCCAAGCCTGACACAGAGGTCCTGGACACCCCCAAGCCTGCCATAGAGGGCCCAGACTCCCCCAAGTCTGACACAGAGGCCCTGGACACCCTCAAGCCTGCCATAGAGGGCCTGGACACCCCCACGCCTGACACGGAGGCACTGGCCACCCCTGAGCCTGACATGGAGGCCCTGGACACCCAGGAGCTTGCCACGGAGGGCCCAGACATCCCCGAGCCTGACACAGAGGCGCTGGATACCCCTGAGCATGACACGGATACCCTGGGCCCCCCCGAGCCTGCCACAGAGGGCCCGGACACCCTCGAGCCTGACACAGAGGCCCTGGCTCCCCCCGAGCCTGCCTCCAGTGAGAAGGAAATAGCTGAGGGCCTGGTGGTGCCTGAGTGGGGAGCCTGTCCTGATGCCGGCGTGCATGCTGGTGGTGGAGCTGAGCCCTATTTGCTGCCAAAGAAGGCCCAGGGGGCCGAGAACCAGGAGGGTGGAAGCCTTGAGCTAACGCCCCGGGGTGCCGGGAAGGCTCCCAGGAGCAGCAGCCCAGAGGCGTGTCCTGCTGCCTGCCCCGAGGTCAGCCAGGCACGGTCCCCAAGCCCAGTGGAGGAGGGAAGGGCCACCCCAGGGCCCCAACTTCCAGGGGCTGTGGCCTCAGAGGCCAGGCTGGCCTCCTGCACAGAGTCTCCACTGAGGGCTGTGCCCAAGCTGGGTGGGGGCTGCCCCAAAGAGCCTGCCCCCACATCCCCACCGCCCTCTTGGCAGCTGGAGACTGTGCTGAGCCTGGACAGTGGTGAGCAGGCCCTGGCAACACCCGGAATCCCTGGCCCCTCCACACCACAACCCCCAGAAAGCCGTTCCAGAGGCCTGCCCAGGGCACCCCAGGATAGTATCCTGAGCCCTGAGCCCTCTGCTGCTGGTGTCCTCATGGAGGCAGCCCTGCCTCCTATGGCGCCCCCTGGCTCCTGCCCTTGCCAGGGCCCCCAGGAAGACTCACTGGAGGGCGAGGAGCCCCCGGGCTCTCCAGGCCTCCCATCGCCCCAGGCAGGAGCCCAGCGGGCGGTGGCTGCCTTCTCAGGAACCACGAATCCCCCTGGGGCTGGTCAGCGGGTCACCCTCCCACCCCACTCCCCCGTCCTCAGTCCCAAGGCAGCCCCCAAGGGGGGCACCCATGCCAAAGACCCAGCCTCACAGATCTCACCCCCCTGCCAAGTGCCTCCTGGCTCTGGGCCCTGGAGCCCAGCCGGCCCTGGAGGGCTCCCAGCCTCCGAGCAGCAGGATGACCAGGACAGCCTGGAGGAAGGTGAGGAGGGCCCTGGGCTGGAGCACTGTCCTGAGCAGAGGGACCAGAGGTGGTGGAGTGGGTGGGCAGGGTCCCTGCTCCAAGGTGCAGAGCTGTCCTCACACCTCGCCTGTCCCCAGACTCCCCACGGGCACCGGGCTCCGGCCAACATTCAGACAGCCACGGGGAGTCATCAGCAGAGCTGGAGGAGCAGAACTTCTCAGGACCACAGAGCGCACAGTGCCCGGCCCAGGTGCCTGGCCCAGGGGGGAGGTGCGCCCCTGGGAAGGCTCCACACCCACCCTCAGATGCTCAGACCCTGCCCTTCCCCAGGCTGCGGCAGGCAGTGGCAGCGAGGAGACCGTCGCCAAAGCCAAGCAGAGTCGCAGTGAGAAGAAGGCCCGAAAGGTGGCATGGGGCCTGGCTGCATAAGGGGACCCCTCTCACCCCATGGCTAATGAATCCCATCAGCGGGGGCCCTTGGGGAATGCCGTACCCGACACCTTCTCAAGAAACAGTGGGGCCTGAATGTCAGTTGAGATGGCCCTCTCAGCCTGGGTCCAACGCCCTATTGTACACAAGGGGGCTGCCCGGGGTCCCACAGAGTCTGTAGGGGTCCCATGAGGAGTCCCACGGAGGGCTGCCCAAGGTCCATGGGGGGGGGTCCCACTGAGGGTCCCATGGAGGGCTACCCAAGTCTGCAGAGGGTCCCACACGGTCTGCCTACAGTCCAGAGATGGTCCCCAGGAGTTGGCAGAGCCTTTGTCCCCTGGCAGTGTGCTGCCTCTCCCTTGGCCTGCTCCTTCCCCCCAACCCCCGACTGGGACCTCGGGGGCTGACACCCAGGGCTGAGCCCCCTGTGCCCCCAGGCAATGTCCAAGCTGGGCTTGAGGCAGATCCAGGGGGTCACCAGGATCACCATCCAGAAGTCCAAGAACATCCTTTTTGTCATCGCCAAGCCTGACGTCTTCAAGAGCCCGGCCTCAGACACCTACGTGGTCTTTGGAGAAGCCAAGGTTTGACTGGCTGTGGGCGCGGGGAGGCCCGGCATGAGGGCTCGGCTGACAGCTGTGCCCTGTGCTACAGATCGAGGACCTGTCCCAGCAAGTGCACAGAGCCGCCGCTGAAAAGTTCAAGGTGCCCGCAGAGCCCTCTGCCCTGGTCCCTGAGTCTGCGCCTGGGCCGCATGTGAGGCCATGCGAGGAGGAAGAGCGGGACGAGGAGGAGGAGGAGGTAAAGCACACGATGCCGGGCCCTGCCTTAAGAGTGAAGGTGGCGAGGCTCTGCCTGGGGGAAGCTCTGCCTGCAGGGGGCTCTGCCTGGGGGGATCTGGGGAGAGCTCTGCCTGCGGGAGGGTCTGGGGGGTTCTACTGGGGGGGCCTCAGAGGCTCTGCCTGGGATGGGGAGCAGCTCCAGCACGTCCCTGCTTGGCCCCCTGCAGGTGGACGAGGCGGGGCTGGAGCTGCGGGACATTGAGCTGGTGATGGCCCAGGCCAACGTGTCGAGGGCCAAGGCTGTGCGGGCCCTGAGGGACAACCAGAGCGATATTGTTAACGCCATCATGGTGAGTGACTAGGCCCCTTTGCAGACACCCTGCGCTGGCTCTGCTGGGGCCTCTCCCACATGACACTCTCTTTCTGCATTTCCTGCAGGAGCTGACAATGTAGCAGCTGACCAGTGAGCCAGCTCCATCTCTGCTCCCCAGCTCTGCTGCTCAATAAATGGGTGTCCCCTCACTGTCTCTCTGTTCCTGCTCCAACTGCTCCCCAAGAACAGGCTCTGACTGAATGGGATTTGATGAGGCGTGAAGACACTTCCTGGGGCTACACAGGACCCAAAGAGGGTGGCAGTCCAACCCTCACATCTTCAGAGGGTGGTGGTCCTTCCCACATGTCCCCAGAGGGTGCTGGTACTCCCCTCATGTCCCAGAGTGGTGGTCGTCCCCCCTAACCCCAGAGGGTGGTGGTCCTCGCCCCGTGTCCCCATAAAGTGGTGCTCCTCCCCCAGCCCCAGAGGGTCCCAGAGGGTGGTGGTCCTTCCCCCATGTCCCCAGAAGGGTGGTGGTCCTCCCCCCGTATCCCCAGAGGGTGCTGGTCCCCCTCCCTGTGTCCCCAAGGATGATAGTCCTTCCCCCATGTCCCCAGAGGGTGGTCGTCCTCCTCTCACATCCCAAGGGGGGGTGGTCCTGGCCCCATGTACCCAGAGAGTGGTGGTCCTCCTACATCCCCAGAAGATGGTGATTCTCCCCCCATGTCCCCAGAGATGGTGATCCTTCCCCTGTGTCCCAAAGGATGGTCATCCTTTTTTGTCCCCAGAAGGTGGTGGTCCTCTACTGAGTCCCCAGAGATTGCAAGCAGTCTGGTCACCTCTCTGTGATTCAAGGCATGGGCCCTGGGACTGGAGTTTCCAGACGGATGTCCCCAGATGTAGGAGACTCTGGAAGTTTCCATAGAGGCACCTGGACTGGAGAAGCTGTGGGAAAGCTGCGTTTGCTCAGGGGGCCAGTGGTTAATCCCCAAAGTTCCTGGCCCCTCACTCTGGCCCATGTCCTCTCCTCTCTTCTCCAAAGTCCAGGGACCCGCAGAGTGGGGGCCATGTCCCAGGACAGGGTGGGGGACTGTAGTGGGGGACCACGTGTGGGTGGAGACCCCTGGAGGGGCAAGAGCAGTCCTGACCATCCACACAGAAGGCTCATGTGATCCCAATACACCGGGTGGGCTCTGGGGGGCCAGGCCCTGGACCTGGGGCTGTCTTTAACCATTCCAAATGCTCTAGGGCAGGTCAATTTGCACAGGTCTGGAGACGGTATCTACCAAGAGTCTCCCTTAGCTTTGCCTGGCCTGGACTGCTCACGAACAGCTCTCGAACATCCTAGCCAGAGCGGTCTGAGATTCCTCCTGCTGTCCTGCCCTTCCCCTTGGCAGGAGGGAGGGACTGAGGGACTGCAGATCCCTGCCTGGCCCTACACGTGAGCCCAGGGCTCTGCTCTCCCTCCCTGGGGTCAGGTGCCCACCCTGCTCAGCCAGGGCTTGTACAGGAAGCCGTCGCGGGTCTGCAGGACGAAGGCGCCTTCTGAGGAATGAGTTCCAGAGCAGGGCCTGCCCACACCTGCACACTGCAGTCTCCAGGCCCGGCCCCCAAACTGATGGCCCCGCCCTGGGGAGATCAAGGCCAAGGGGCTTGGGGAGCAGGGCCCCCTGGAGACTGGGACCCAGGCTCTGAGATAACACACTTTCAGGATGTGGACGGCACTTGTGGGGTGGGGGCGTGTACAGGGTTTGCTCTGGAGACCACCACAATGGTGGGTCAGACCGGGGAACTGGGGACTTGGGTGAGGGGCCAGAACACAGCCAGTGCCCCTCAGAGAGCCCGGTGTCTGGGTCCTGATAACCAAGACCTGCCACTCACACCTGCACGTGCCCAAGACACCTGCTCACCACCCCATGTCCACAAAGCAAAAGCCCAAATCAGGTCCTCCTCGTGGCCTCCACTGCTGCCGAGCCCAGCCCAGCTCCCTGCAGTGGCAAGAGCTGAAGGGCAGCCCAGCCCCAGACCACTGCACCCAGCCCTGGACGTGTGGGCCTGGGACAGAGGCCAGAGCAGACACCCTGGCTCTCACTCCACTGGATCAGAAACACACTGGCAACCAGAGATAAGTTATTCACATTGCAGTAAACTTCTTTTAAGGTCTCTGGGAGTTTCAATAGGAACGTCATGTGCAAAATCGACAGCTGTCCGAGGTCTGGCCAACAGGACCCCCTCCCGAAGCGGGGCCGCATGCAGGCAGCAGGGTGCAGCCTTCTGCCCCCGCACCGGGGTGTGTCCTTCACAGTAGAGGGCCACCTGCACCTGGGGCTCCTCGGCCAGCCCCAGCCCCGGCACAGGAAGGGCGGACTCGCAGGGTCCCTCCCTGCACCATCAGGCCGAGTCCTGGTCCATGCTGCAGCCTAGTGCCTCAATGTCGTTGCTGATGTCCGAGATCATGCGGTCCCACTCGTCCCCCTCTGAGGGCACGGACTGGTCATCAGAGCTGCCCGCGGCCCTGTTCCCGTTGGAGGTGGAGGTGGAGCTCATGGCCCGCCGGTACCTGCCAAAGCTGTCCGTGATGATACCACGGCCATCCTTCACTCCAATGGTCTCCAGGAAGTTCTCAAAGTGCTGGCTGTCCTTCTCAGGGATGAAGGGCCGCAGACCTGCAGACACACCGTTCACCTGACCCCATACCTCCCATAGGAAGCACGAGCGTGCCCATCCCTGGGAGCCCACAACTCGGAAGACCCCACCCCACGTCTAGCCCAACTCTGACATGCCTCAGACCCTCCACTCACTCCCATCAGTCCTCGCAGAAGCCCCACTTCACAGGTTTCCAAATGGAGGAGAAAGGAGGGAGCAGAGGGGAGGCTGATGTGGGGCTCCAAGCAACAAGCCCCCACCGCCCAGCTGCGCTCCCACCTCTAGGGGGGACCACCCATTTCCTGACAGAAGGCCCTCCTATGTGAGAACACGACTGAAAGGAACACACTGAGCTGGGGGTCAAGGGCCTTGGACCTGAGCCCTGGCTGGGCGACTAACCCCAGGGAGGCCATGAGGTCATCAAGAGCTCACTGGAGGGCCGGCCTGGTGGTGTAGTGGTTAAGTTCGCACGCTCTGCTTTGGCAGCCCAGGGCTCGCACGTTCTGATCCTGGGCGTGGACCTACGCACCACTCATCAAACCATGCTGTGGCAGGTGTCCCACATACAAAATGGAGGAAGATGGGTCCAGATGTTAGCTCAGAGCCAATCTTCCTCACACAAAAAAAAAGAGCTCACTAGACACAGCGGGTCCAGCCTTTAGCCCTTTATCCCTCCATGAGCAGAGAGTCCTCAGGTGGCAGCCAGTGCGGGTAGCACACACCCTCTTTGGATTATTGGGGGCAGAGCCCAGGACCCAGGAGCCTCCACCGCCCACCTTCAACCAGACGTGTTCTCTAGGGTCAGCACAGGGAAGCCACAGCCCTGCCACTGTCCTCGTGGTGTGGGCAGACATCCAGGGCCACATCCCAGCCATTGGTGGCGGGCCCTGACCACCCCGCCTGCCGTGCTGACCTAACATGCTGAGCTCTTGGGGCCTCAGCGCCTTTAGCAAAAGCTGGTCCTTCCACTGAGAAATGGCATCTTCTCCTCTCCACCCCGAACTCCTACTCGTCCACCAAAACCAGCTGGAGCGCCACCTCCTTGGAAGAGGCTCCCTTAGCACTCACGCCGGCAGCACGCAGCTCCTGGCTTACTCTCAGTCTAGCTTCTGCAGGGCCCTCTCCTGCTTCCCAGAGGGCAAGCCCCTGCTAGTCACTGGGAAGAGCCCTCTGGCCAGAATCACTTGGGCTGTACTGGTTGGAACCTCCTTTCCTACCAGAGCCCCGGCCCGCACCTGAGGCCCTGTCCATCCCAGGGCTCACCCAGCAGCAGGAACTTGCGGCTGTCCCCGTAGAGCTGCCGCAGGTTGATGCAGAACTCGTGCACCGAGGCCCCGTCACGGTACTCGTGCAGCAGCGCTGCAAACTGCTGGATCTCCTGCGAGGACAGCTTGGTGCGCAGCTACAGAGGGAGAGCGGGACACCAGGCAGGGCGCGGTGACGGGAGGGAGGGGTCGCCGCAGGCTGAGGCCCCCACGCCCGTGCAGAGGGCCGCAGAGGCCTGACAACAGCCCACGCCATCTGCCCTAACCTCACCAGGAGCAGGGCAGAGGTAGCATCGCCGTGCCGCTGCCAGGGAGCCATTTACTGGTGTCCTGGGGCCCAGAGCAATGCCCACACCCTCTGGGGGACACTTGTGTAGGCCAGGACACCGAGTTTTCAACGGCAAGACCACATGAGGTCAGGGGGCAGAGGAAAAGTCAGCTGAACAATGAGACGGCCTATCCAGCCCTTCTAGGGAGCATCCAATCCCTCTGCCACCGTTCACCTAAGACCCAGGGACAGACCTGTGGTCCAGCCCCAGCAGCCAGAGCAGCCCCCACACCAACTCACATGCTCCCTAATGACTGTCCGAGTGAGAAAGGCAGCGATGCCCGGCGGAGAGGGTGGAGGCATAAGTGAGGTACCCCCACTCAACCCCCATGCCTCCTTCTCCTCCCCTCCCCCTCCTCCTCCAGGAGCTTCTACCACTAAGATGCCCGGCAGTAGGCAGTGTACCGTGAGCATGTAGTCTTGCAGCAGCTCGGCGGCTGTGGCGCTCAGCTCACTCTCACTGACCGTCTTGGTGTGGGGCGCCGTTGGCACACAGAAGGACAAGGGCGAGACGCCGCCTGCATGCCCACACTCAGGGAAGGAGCTGCAAGGACATGACCCGTGGGCAGGCAGCTCCTCGGCCCCTGCCCCGTACGTGCACCCACGACACTCTGCAGGAACCCAGTTAGTGCCAGGGGTGCCAGCAGCAGGACTCAGGGCAGGTGACAGGAAGGGGAGGTCAGCTTGCCTGGACATGGGGCCAGGGTCTGAGAGAAGGTGGAGGGAGGGGCACCGGGGGGTGGGACAGAGGAGGACACGAGGGGACCAGAAGGTGACAAGGAGCCTAGCAGGGTCTCGGCAGAGCAACAAGGTCACCCGTAGCATAACCTTGGGGAGCCTGCACGCTGGAGAGCCTATGAAGGCTGGACTGGGGGGGGTCATGGGGCAGATGATGGGGAGGGGTCCCAGTGAGGGGAAGGGGCCCAACAGGGGAAGTGGACGGTGGCCAGCGAAGGAGAATGCATGGAGCCTGACCGGGGGAGGGAGGCCAGGCTGAAGTGTTGGCACCGCTGAAAGCCCGGGCCCGGTACTCACAAAGTGCTGGCTTCCGTCTCATAGGGCTCCTTCATGTCCACCTTGGTGGAGGAGTCGTCTGTACACAAAGTGCAGAAAACAGACACTTCCAGTTATGTGAGGAAGAGAGCACTGAGTCCAGTGGCCAAGTTCTAAACAGGAGATGCAGAACCCTGGCAGTAGCGCATCCGCGAGCCTTCATGGGCAGAGCTAGCTGGGCCTCTGGGGGGTGCACCTCGGACCACACCTGCACCCGCTCCTCCTGGGCTCTTGTGAGATGCACCACCTGCTGCAGTTCTGGGCTGGAGGGGTGATGCTCTGGTCCTCAGACGACCTGCCAACTGGCAGAGCTGGAGGAAGCTCCCCAATGGCCAAGAAAAAGAAAAGTGCCATTTGTGTGTGTCAGCTCTGCACCTGGCAGCATCCCAGGAGCTGTGTTACTCTGTCTTCTCTGACCCCAGCAGGTGTCATCACTGCCCTGCTTTTAGATGAGGAACTGAATCAGAGAAGTTGTGCCCCACGTAACAGCTGTGAGGACAGAACCACCATCAGAGCTGGCAGGTCTGACCCCCAGCCTAGATCCAGCCAAGTTCCACACATGGACAGCTGCTCCCCAAAGACAGAGACGAGGCCTCAGGATGCCCGAGACCCTCAGCCCAGCAAAGGGCATGGTACACAGCAGCTACTCAGGAAACCCTGGACAGATGACCTAAGGTCTGTATGACACAGATGGTGAGGGACATCGAAGCACTGTTCTAGGCAGCAAGCGAAGCTGTGAGTGGTGAGTGAGAAGGTATACAAGTGTGGGAGAGGCTGAAGAGCAAAAAGGGACGTTTCTGGCAATGGGAACAAGTAAGTGTGGTGGGCAAGGACAACGTTCCACATCCAAATTGCAGAACCTGTGAATGTGTGGGTGGCATGGCGATGGGGATGGAGGCTGCTCCATAGCTGATCTAACACAGGGAGAATGTCCTGGGCTATGTGGGGGACTTGATGTGACCACAGAGCCCTTCAAGGCAGAGCAGGGGCAGAGGGGCAGACAGAGCTGTGACCACAGAAAGTCAGAGATGCTACCGTGCCGGCTGTGAAGATGGAGGAAGGGCTCCAGAAGCTGGAAAAGGCAGGAACTGGCTTCTCCCCAGAGCCTAAGAAGGAACGCAGCCTGGCTGGCACCCTGATTTTAGCCAGTGACACCCTCATTGGACTCCAGCCCACAGAATGTGAGAGACTAGATCTGTGTTGTTTAAGCTACTAAGCTACTAGGTTTTGGTGATCTGTCACAGCAGCAGGAGCAGACAGACTCAACAAGAAAGGCCCTGAGGCAGAAACCAGCAGAAGATGCGTGTGCATGCACATGGGTGTGAGTGTGAGCGTGCAGGACTCGTGTGATGGGTATGTGTGTGTTGTGTACATATGAGCGTGTGTGTGTGACACAGGCATACCTCATTTTATTGCACTTTGCAGATACTGCATTTTTTACAAGACCCTCCACCAGCAAAAAGACTAAGACTCGCTGAGGGTTCAGATGACAGCATTTTTTAGCAATGAAGTATTCTTTAATTAAGGTATGTACATTATTTTTTAGACATAATGCTATTGCACACTTAGACTACAGTATAGTGTAAACATAACTTTTATATGCACTGGGAAACTGAAAAATTCACATGACTCACTTTATTGCAATACTCGCTTTATTGTGGTGGTCTGAAATGGAACCCGTGCTATCTCCGAGGTGTGCCTGTTCGTGTGTGTACATGATGTGTGTGCATGTGCAATGTGTGCGTGTGTGACAGGTACATGTGTACAAACGCAGATCCCACGGGGAGATTTGAGGAGAGAGGCACAATGACATCCACGTGGAGAGGAGGCTGGCAGGGAGGAAGCCCACTCAAGAAGCCCTGATCACGTACATCGTGTGTTTAAACTCACGACAGTTTTCATGAAGACTCATCCAACTGTACACTTATGATTTGTGCACATTTTAGCAAAAAATTTTACTGAAAAAAAGAAAGACCCTTTGGGAATTTTAATGCACAAGAGCCAACCAATCACACTGAAATTGGATGTTTACATACGGCTTGATAAACCACCTGGTACTGAGAGAAGCCGCCGGCCTCTGGGCCTCAACCCCCCGCCCTGCGCGTGAGGACAGACTGCCTGCCTCGCTGGGCCGTCACGTGTGGCTTCAGCACAAGCAGCAGGAAAGAGAGGCAGCAGAGAACCACCCTGGGATGGGCCCTTCCTCAAAGAGCCCCCCAGCTTCATAAACACACCAAGGAGGGTTCTCCTGGCTTTGCTACTCTTTGCTGAGACGTGTGAATCACTGGGGAGGGGCACAGGGCTGGGACTTATCTCCACAGACAGATGACACTGGAAGCTACAGCTGCACTGTCTCCAATATCTTTCTACTTACAGAAGCCATGAATCCTCAATGAACTATATATTTAAAACAGATAGGGCCAGCGCCGTGGCTTAGCGGTTAGGTTCGCACGCTCCGCTGCTGGTGGCCCGGGTTCGGATCCTGGGCGCACACCAAAGCACTGCTTCTCCGGCCATGCTGAGGCCGGGTCCCACATACAGCGACTAGAAGGAGGTGCAGCTATGACATACAACTATCTACTGGGGCTTTGGGGGAAAAAATAAATAAATAAAATTATTAAAAAAATAAAAAATAAAACAGATACTCGGTGTGGAGAATATTCAGCTGAAGTGAGCTGTGTATAAATGAAGTGTGCACTAACGGATTCCTGAAAACACTCCACAGATATCCACACGGAGGTGGTGGCTCCTGAGTGCTGGTCCCACTATGCAGCCTTGGGGCTCCCTCACTTCCTCCCACCCACCACCCCATTCTTGGGCAGCCTTCGTCCGTCCTGGAAGGAGTCCTCACACCCACCGAGAGCAGCGAGGTCTAGGCGTTTTGGAAGGGAGGCTCCTCACACCCTCTCAGCCCCAGCACTGGAAGCCCCTCTTGACCTTCTGTTCTGAGTTAGGTGAAGTGACTTTAGCCACATGTGGTTCCAGAAAAAGTGTTCTGAGCTCCCAAAGTTATGCAGGAAGCCACCAGGCTGGCCTAAGGGGATGGCCTTGACTAAACCTGCAGATTAACACGAAGTCTGGAAACCAAGGGCATTGGCTTGAACCCCCAGGACAGGGCAACAATGGCACTGCACACCAATGCTGCCCGGGGGGCGTTTCTGGGAGGATGGGGGAAGGGGAGGTGGGGCCCCTGCCACCCGCCCTCTTGCCCACGTACCACTGTGAAGGGACAGGTGGTGGGTGGGTGTCGAGGCCCCATCAAATATGGCTCTGTCCAGAAAGTCAATGGTGGACTCCGTGTACACAATCTGGAAGACTTGGCCCAGCAGGGAACACAGCTCTTCAGCGGCGACCTGCCGTGGAGGGACAAAGCTGCGCCTTCCTGGGTGGCTTCCAGGCGCCCACCACCTCAGATGCAGAACGAACACCAGGACTGAGTACTCTCTGCCTCCTGCGGCCCAGTAGGGCCACAAGGACACCGGCCCATGCCCAGGATGCTCTCCAGACCCGGGGTGGCCAGGTGTGGCCTGCAGGTGTGTCAGCTGCCAGCCCTCCTCTTTGCACTGCCCTGGCCAGCCAACACCCTCTCACCGCTCCTGTCCCAGCGTCGGGAAAGAGAGGGCAGGGAGGGAACTAGCATCTGCGGCAGCTCACATGGACAGCATTCCCCACACTGCAAAACGGCTTCACGCGTGTGCTGTTAAAGCAGGGTCCCTCCTGGGGTGGTTCTGCCCCCAGGACAGGAGGCAATGTCTGGAGGAGCTTCCAGTGGGTACAAGCCAGGGAGGTGGCCCCATGAGGAAGAACTGCCCCACTGTAAGGTGGACAGAGCTGAGGAGAAGGGATGCTGATCACAGGCTACCTAAGGAGGAGTGTCGCCTCCACTGTCTTTCAGATGTGGAAACTAAACAGAAGGATGTCTAAGGGCTCCCCAAGGCTGGCAGCCCTTGGGTGCCTGAGGGGAACCCAAACCCTAACTTGCCACTCCTAAGAATCTTCCGACAGGACACAGCTTGGGGTGGAGGAGACCACTGTCCCCATCAGCATGGGGGAGAGAGGGGCAAGGCCCACCAAGAGAATGAACCAACCAACACAGCAAAGGGGGAGGCACCAGATGGAGTGGGACTAGGGGCGGAGCCTGGGTCAGGATATAGGTGGAGCTGGGCCTAGTGTGGGCAGGGCCGGGTCAGGATGTGAGATGGGCCTGGACGGGCTGTAGGTAGGGCACGGGTTAGGTGTGGGTGCGCTGGGCCAGGATATGGAAGGAGCCTGGCCAGATTGTGGGTGGTGCCTGGGAAGGCTGTGGGCAGGGCCTGGGTCCGGTGTGGGCAGAGCTGGACAGGTTGTAGACAAGGCCTGGGCTAGGTGATGGAGGGGGCCTGGGCCAGGTGTGGGTGGGGCCTGGGTCCTAGTTCCCAACTCTGCTCACCTTGCTCTCTGCAGCCAGGATCACCAGGCAGCACGCTTCCACAGGTCCCACTCCACTCTCCGACAGGGAGCCTGCGGTGAGGCCTCTGGAACTTTCTGCACACAGACTCTGGCTGGGGGAGATGCCGGGGTCCTGGGCTGAGAAGACAACACCACAGCAGGTTAGGGCAAGCATGGGAACTCAACAGTGGTCTCTAGCCAGCCCCTACCTGGTTCAGGAGGGGACAGGCCTACAAGGGGCATGCCCCCTCCCCTAACTTCTCTAAACAAGGGGTGGGAACAAGTGAGCCAACCACCCTCATCCTCACACTGCCTGCTGAGAATTATCACCCTACGTGACCTTCTAGCATCCTTGCCAAAGACGGTGCCAATATCTTAGGCTGAGACATGAAACTGCCGATATTCAGCTGCTTTTGATCTACACAAAGGAGGGTACTCACAGGGTTCCATTCATAGGGTTAATATACGACGGACCACGAACACAATCCTGACAGATGCGGAAACTGAGGCATGGGGGACAAAGGATGGGGCTCAAGAGCATGTGAGGGGCAGAGCCCACATGGGGATCTGGACTGTGAGAGCCACAGCTGTGGTCCTAAACTCTACGCACTGCTTCCTCCAACAAACGGCCTCGTGGGATGCAGAGACAACTCCAGGCCTGCCCGAGGCAGGGAAGGAGGCCCACGTCCTGGGGAAGCTTCTGCAGGAGCAGGGCTCCAAGCACATCAGCTCGGACAGACCTGGGCGCAGGAACTGCAAGTGAAGCCTTGATCTCCCGCGGGTGCCCGTGTGTCTCACGGCAGGCCCAGCTCAGGAGGGAGAACACCTGAAGCTCACACACGGCGGGGAGACAGGAACTGGGCCAGGAACAGCTGGACTCAGGGCAAATTGGGTTGCAGAGACCAGGGCTCTCTGGGGCTGGCAACACCCTGCAGCCTGGCACCCCATGTGGAGGCTGAGCCCCACAAACCCTGGGGGGACCCCGGACTGCACTGTCCCACAGCAGCCACAGGCAATGAGCACGTGAAATGTGACAAGTCCAAACTGAGCCGAGGCCTAATTGTAAACTACACAGGGTCTCAGAGTTATACAAAGAAGAAAGTATGATTTCTCATTAATAACTGTTATATTGATGATATGCTGACAATATGTTAGAGACAGAGGACTAAATGAAAAATATTAACATTGATTTCACTTGTTCCTTTTTAGTGTGTGTGTGTGTGTGTGTGTGTGTGTGTGTGTGTG